TCTCAGCCGGGCAGGGCGCAGGCCCGCGGAGGCCTGCGGGGCTTTTGCGGGGCGTACGGCCCGTGCTGGGCCTTGGCGAGGGAGTGGGAAGACGGAGGCCGCATCAGTCCCTGGAAGGAGCCTCTCTGGCACCGTCGTCTCCTTCCCGCGACGGGCAGAGCTGTCCTCTTGGGTCGCCTTGAAGAAGGAAGGGGCTTGGGCATAAAGAAGCGGGACGGGGTGTTCTTAGGGGCGCTAGGGACTGGCCAGGTGCCCGATCATCACGAGAAGTGGTCCGAGAGTCTCAGATACGTGTCCTGTTCCTGCCAGGGAGATGGGAGTAAAGCGTTTGTGATGCTGAAAAGTTGCTGTGTAAAGTCTGCAACTGGCGCGACCCCGGGCGCGAGTTAAGGTTAAGTTTAAGTTTCTAAATGTGGGAATTATGTAAGTAAGGAGCTGGGTATGAGGTGAGGGGAGGTGACAGGGGGAAGGCTGAGGGAACCCAGGTCCGCATCTGATGTGTGCCTGGGTGCTTTTCAGCGTGGCTCCGATGGCTCCTGCAAAGAAAGGTGGCGAGAAGAAGAAGGGACGCTCTGCCATCAACGAGGTGGTAACTCGGGAATACACCATCAACATTCACAAACGGATCCATGGCGTGTAAGTGCTGCTGCGTGTCGGTGACATTGGCCTTACGCAAAGTGGCGTTCGGGAGTGGCTTCGGTGGGTTTTAAACAGCAGAGAAGGACGGTCCTTACCAGCACCGACGCCAGTGTGTGATGGTTTAGTCCCTTGTGCTGCAGTTGTGTGCCGAGGAGACAGCTCTGTGCCCATGCAGACCTATGCAGAGGATTTGGCTCTTCAGATCAGGCGTGTTGCTGTTTTTGTGAGTGTTCCTGGGCTCAGTTTGAGGTTTCAATTTGTTCAGCCTCTGTGCGCAGGTCATCCTTCTTTCCCAGGTTTAAAGTTTAGCCCGCCGCAGTCAGTTTTAGAAATGAAGTGTTGTTGTAATCACACGATTGGCTCTGTGCTTATCACTGAATGGTGTGAAGTGTGATTTGAATTAAACAATATTTGTTGTGTATAGATGAGAGCAGCTTTTTAGCTGACAACAGGTCGAACCTCACACATAAAGTGCTTGAGAGGACTTGAAACTGTGTTGCCCTTTGCTTCTCTGTGTGTGTGGCTGCAGCCACGGGGGAGGAAACTACAGCCGACTCAAAACAGCAAAATTGCTGAAGTTACCTTAGAATGGATGAGGAACAATACTGTGAACTGTTGTCAAACCGCGGGTCAGGACGGGAGGCCACAAGTGGAGCCTTTAGGTGGTGACAAGATGCTCTGGCCTGGCCTGCTGGGTGGTGGTGGTGGAAGTTCAGTCGGTTTTGAAGGCTGATGACCCTGGCAGATGCTTTTCTTTTTGGGGTTATCCTCTTTGATTTTGGGGCATGAAGTACTAAGGGTGAAATGCCTTTTGTTGAAGGCTCGTCTCGCTTGTAATTGCTCACCCGCTCCTGATTTCTAGCACTAAATATCAGCAGCAGGGTGCAAATAATACTAAACATAACCCACCATGGGGCCAGCACTGGCACTAGTCGCATGTCATGGTGCGGGTGTAATAGATACGGCAGAAACAGCGCGGCTGTGACTCTTGGTGTAGAGGCCCAGTCATGCAGAATCTGTCCAGAATAGGCACGAGACTGTAAAAAACCAGTTCCAATGGTGGTATCGGTCCTGCTAACAGGAAGAAACACTGTGTAGCAGAAGCTGTCCTTCAGAACAGCATCAGGCTGGTTCTTCCGCTGTTTATTTCAGGACCGATGCAGTTCTGGCAGGTTTGTATCGCTGCTGTCGCACTGCCTTTCTCCTAGGCCTTTGGATAAGGCTCTGATCTCTTCAGCGACATTGCAGTAAGTTCTAACGTCAACATGTTTGAATAAGACTTAAGATCTGGGACATCTTGCAGTTGCAAAAGTTTGCTGAAGTTAGGCTGCGTAAGTGTACGTGGTTTCTGTCAGGCACAGACACTGAGGGTAGCAGCTAAGGAGCGAGGGTCTGGTCACACTTGAGCTGCTATGGAACACGGTTCTGTGGATTGTATGTTTAGAGAACGTCAGGGGTTGAATGCTGCGACAAGCGTCCGGTGCCGACGCTTCCTGAAGTTAAAGAAACAGCTCTTGTGTTTGTCCTAGGGGCTTCAAGAAGCGCGCACCGCGGGCTCTCAAGGAGATCCGTAAATTCGCCATGAAGGAAATGGGCACTCCCGACGTTCGCATTGACACCAGGCTGAACAAGGCGGTCTGGGCAAAAGGGATAAGGTGGGTTTCTGCAGCTTTCCTCAGCAGGCGAGGAAGGACCTTGTGACACTGCGTACGTGGAGGTGCGGGGCTTGGAGGGGTGGAAGCCTCCAGGATTTGCATTTTCTTTGCAAACGCTGCCTTCCTTACGTGCCAAGCTGGTCTTTCCCTCGCCTCTGTGTTCTGGTCAGCTCCCTCAGCGCGTTTGTGGCAAAGCTTCGGTAAACTCTGGAATTGAAAGACCTTCCTTCTACCTCTGATAAGAATAAAGCAAAGGAAAGATAGGTTTGGGGGTGGAGGGTGGGGGGGAGAGAAAGGGTTGGGGTGTTGTAATGCTGTCGCACCCCAGTCCCTGTCGCAGCAGAGAGTTTTTAGAAACGTGGCTTTTTAGTGACATGGTCCCGGGCTTGGTACCTGGGGTTTGTGTGAGGTGTCTGAGCAGGGTTAGGTTTCGAAGCCCACTGAATTGAGAAATGGTCATTGATAAATCAAGAAATGCTGCGCAAGGAAATCATGAGGTGTGGTTTAAACAGGGCCATTAATCATCTCTTGAAAGTACAAACGATAGGTAGTTTGGGGGCAAAAAATTACAACTTGTGTTAGATCACTGCTATAGAGGCAGCTGATCTGGTATTTCGTATGTATGAAGATGGTCCAAAAGGAAGACTGTGAGGAGTGGGACCTCTTAAAAGGTAATAAAAGTTAACTGGTAGGGATTAGTACTGTAAGTGATACATTGGATACACATGAACCCTTGTTTTAAACCACGTCTTCTAGGAATTAGATACCCAAGTCTGGCCTGTGCCATACAATCCTTTTCCTGAACTGTGTGCTTAGGCCAACCCTTCCTTCAAAAGCGGAGTGGGAAGATGGGACTGAGTTACTGGGTCTTCTGGGCATGGGTTCTCCGTCCTTCCCGTTGGGCTCTTCCAGTTCACGTGCAACAAAGAAGTAGCAGCTGAGCCAGGAGGCAGCCCAGCTTCAGAGCTTAGTGGTGAGGCTGCTCACCGAGATGCCTTGGGCTAACTGGCAGGAGCGCGGTCTGTGGAGCAAGGAGTCGCTGCATCTGTCTCTGCGGCCCGAGTTTAACTGCAGTTTTCCCTAGTTAGAGTAGCGAATGTATGCAGAGAAACGTACCTGTCTCTGGAAGGATCAGGAGAGGCTAAAATCACTGTGTGATAGTCAGTGATCTATGCAAAGAAGTAGTGAAAAATGCTTTTGATTTGTTTCAAGAAGGGAGCAAATGGAAGCAGGTTCCTTTTTCTTAACTACTACGTCCATCTGATTTGGTAAGTGTGCTCTTGAGAATGTACAGCAAGGAGGCAGTTCCCTCACATACGGAGCAAAGTACTCTGAGCAGGAGTTTACCGAAATCCCGAGTTCATTGGAGGTGGGAGAGTACTTGAAGAATGGTGTGGACAAGTAATTGTGTGCCTGCCCTCAGCAGCATATTTTGGGCCGTATTAGGGGAGGATGCTAAGGTGTGACTAGCCTATTACAAAGAAAATAATCTTAAGTGATTTACGTTGTGGTTCTGTGGGCTTTGTGAGGAAGAAACGAACAGGTTTTTGCCCATGAATAAGATGTTGGCTCAGGTCTAATGCTTACTAGAATTTCCACACGACTTCTGGCGTATAGATTGGGCAGGGCTCTGACCCTTGACAGGGGCCTTGGGCTTTCAGAACAGGCTGTTGGGGGTTTTTTCCTCGCTGTTCTCTAGTCTCGCAAGAAGCGCTGGTTGGTAACGGCTGCTTGCTGATCGTAGCCACGCTGTGCTCCTTGATCATCTTCATAGTGTATTTCCTGGATTGGTGGCAGACTGGTGATGCACTTCTGACTTTACGCTCCCACTGGATTATGGATTCATCTGATTCAAGGTTCCGTTAAATCTAAACCTGCGCACTTTAACAAAACTAAAAACCAAACCAAAAAGCTCCCCTAAGGCAAATGGTACAATCTCCAAGGTATGCAGGATATCAGTCTTGTTATGCAGCCGAGACAGAAACAGAATTGACTCATCGTGTCTTTGCACAAATAGGCAAAGCTCAAGAATTTGAGGGGGACTAGTAATCGTGGAGCAAGAACTTTTCTGAATTAGCTGGTTTCAATAAATTTTTTACTGAAAATTAATCTGTCGTGATCACTTTAGGAACGTTCCTTACCGTATCCGCGTGCGTTTGTCCAGAAAGCGCAACGAGGATGAAGATTCGCCAAACAAGCTGTACACGCTGGTTACCTACGTACCAGTCACAGCATTCAAAGGTAAGGCTGCGCGCCGCACGCCACGCTGTGCCTCTTGCTCTGTGCTGTGTTCTTCTGAACCAGTAGCAGAGTGGGACAGCTCCTCTGGCAGTGCAGAATTCAGATGGAAAGTGTGCTGGAGGGGTCAGACTGCTGGCTTAAACTGGCTCTGTTGTAGAGCACAGGGCTGCCAGCTTGCCTGGTCGGCATTGAAAAGTAAACGCGGAATTCAGTGAAATAATCTTGTAGATTTTGAGAGAATAAAAACCACTGGCCGTACTTGTTAGGGTAGTTTTAAGGTTTGTTTTCCCATGTAAAGTACATCCTCTGATGTCAAAAGCTCAATCAGGGTGAGCCTTTTCTGCTTGTCACCTGAGAAATATCTTATTTGCAGGATTGATTATTATTTGCAAGTGAAATACTGGCCTGTGTCGCTTGCTCTTCCCAAAGTAGATCGGCAAACAAGCTTTGAAGCTGCAGGTGCGCTTCCTTGTGAAGCCTTGCGTGTGCATAAAGCGAATTGTCCTAGTAATAGGTGGTGATACAGTTTCTTGTTTTGCAGGTCTACAGACGGTCAATGTGGATGAAAATTAACCTGATTTTCATTATAATAAAAGGATAAAAAGAAAGTTTATGCCCAGGTTGTTTGGTTGGGTTTTTTTTTATTGTCCAGTCTCTTCAAGCTCTCATCCATGAAGCACTGAGTTGACCAGGTGACAACATCTTAAAGTATCTTCCTTGCTTAGGGCTCGTACATACTTGTGTCATTTCCTTAATTAAAAGATACTGTAGACTTCAGTTACACGTGAGCGGAATAAGGAGGAGAGGTGACTGTTCCTATGCAGGTAGCAAAGTCCTGGTGGTTTGGTTTTGCTCCTTTATCAGCAATAAGGAGCCACTACACCAGTCTTCTGAGTTAAGGCCAAGTTTGTTTGAAAACCAAAATCAACAAATGGCAACAACAAAACCCAACCCCCACACCTGCTAGAGCAGTCCTTCGTGTATGTCATCTCTCGTGGATGAAGTCAAGGCCCTGTGTTTGGTGCCCCACCACTCGGCAGAACCAGCAGGCTTCTCCCGGGCAGGTCTGCGTGCTGCGCTGAAACCTGGGGTTCTCACCAGTCAAGTAACTGGAATTTGTTGAATGAAGTAGGGACTAAAGGCACTTCCATACGTCAATAGACACTTGTCAACACAAGTCTAGTACAAAAAGGGTTTATTGAAAAGTGCATGTTTTCACAGACCAACATCAGAAGCACAGTCCATGTACAGTTAACATTTCAGCAAGACGTACAAATCGGAATACAATCAAATATATTAAAATAGTTTCAATTACCAGCATTGAAACAGTTTTCGGTATTAGTGCAAAAAAGGCAACCCAAACAATCTGCGGGACAGTAGCTGAGAAGTGTTTTCCCCTGTTTACACACACACAAAAAAAAAAAAAAAAGGACGACTGGAGCCAGCCTCTGCTCTCCCAGCGCGGAAGAGGGCTTCGGTGTCTTCACTCCGTACACAGATGTTTCCTTTTACATTCAAAACAAGAACATAATTAATAAATCAATGGCACAAAACAAATCTACACACCCTTTAGCTTTGAAAGCTCTTAAACTGAAAACCACAGACCAACAAATTGTTTATCGAAAGTCCACTGCTAATTGAAAGCCTTTTACAGTATGTGCTTTGGCATAATTTCAGTGCATTTCATTTCGGACAAGTTTGCTGCTACTGTGTGTTTAGTTTTGGGTGTTCACCCCGGGACTGGCAGCTCGTTCCATTTGTTTTGAGACTATATTGATTGAGCTTTGCATTCTCTAGTCTTGGCTTCAGTTCTAAGGGTTTTTCAAAGAAGTTAACTAGCGACTGTTCAGTCAAGAGGGATGCTAAAATATGTTCAAAAGAGACAGTCCAGTCCCCTTCAGTCACAGGTGAAGGCTGAGAGTCTTTGTGAGGGGTCTTCACAGTGTCGGTAAAAACAGCGTCCTGGTCTGGAGCAGAGGCCTCAGGCTGCAAGTCCTCCGTGAACTCGTCTGACCCGCTCCCCAGGCTGATGCTTCTTTGTCCTACTTCTCCGATCTGAAGTAACAGCGTGGTCACAGTGGCAATGGCCTGATACAAGTCGTTCTCCTCTGGATCTTCGTGAAACATGCTGTACAGGGTTTTGCAGAACTGAATGAACTCCCTCTGTCAAGGACGAAAAAGACCGAAATCAAGCTACTGAAGGAACAGCCACCCCGTGGGTAACTCGGGAGTCAGGCGAGGGCGCCGTACTGCCGAGGCAGGCAGAATGCTGTGTATGTTTAGATGCTCGTTTAGAACTTCCGTCTGCTTTGAAAAAAATACCAGCAAAGGGATTTCAGCCCCCAGCGACGCTAAGAAACCTTAGTGCTGCAACTCAAAAAGGGAACGGAGCAGAAAAAGTATTCTGCTGCCTTGACAAAGGAGAGCAGGGCCTCCCAGGTAACCAAAGGGCAAGTGAGATCCAAGGCAAGGGATACAACCATTACTGGTGGGAAGCTGGTGGCTGTTACACAGCACGGGTTAGAAGCACAGCGGCCATCCACAGGCCTGCAAGCAACTTCCCTTCTGCTGTTTCTCTCCCGTCTTTCCCCAGCTCTTTTTCTTCTGCTAACAAAATATTACGAAATGTGTGAGCCTTCAACTTTCAGGCAGTCAGAGGATGGCTAACGCAGGGTGGAAGGGACCGCAGGAGGTTCACTCAGGCGATGCCTTAGGAGACATTACGTGGTCCTGCTGAGCTGACAGCTTAGGGACGTGCCACCCGTTCAAAACTACGTAGCAACGCCGGCACAGAAGGGGTTCTGGGTGTAGCCCCATCTTTCTTTGCGTGTCCGTGCATTTGTTTGGGTAACACGGGACCCTTTTCCCTCCAGGAGATTTCCTTACGCCAACAACGCACACAAAGCTCTACTGGCTTTAGGGAGGAGACGGTAAGATGGCGAGAGCCTTCAGCTGCCTGACTTCATGCAGTTCAGTCAGCGTTTGGCTAAGACAGGGCAAGTCCCAGTTGGTGACGGACTAAGAAAGAAGTTACCGGTTTGGTGGGAAAAGAACAGCCACGTGCATTCTCGGGAATTCTTTGTGCCTAGCAGGGAGGCTTTTTCCAGCCTGCCTGAGCCTGTTTTCCAGCCTGTGACGCTGCAGGTGAGGGTCAGCCTGAAATTCTTTCTATTCACCAGCCAGTCTGAGGAGAGGGAGCTGCTAGAAAGGCAGCTGGGAGTTCTTAAACACCCGCTCCCTGGATCAGAGGAGCCCAGTCCTCGACACCTAAAGGACTGAATGTAAGCTCAGGCTGAAGTTACGCTAACTCAGAAAGAGCTAAACTGTTGTATTCGATCATTTCATTTTTCAGTACTCTCCACTTCTTTAAATACAAGACTACAGCCTCTAATGCACATACCTGGCTCATTTTTGGCAATTCTTTTTCCGTTTTAGTATCCTTTTCTTTGGCTAGATCCTTCAGCATCTGCTTCAACTGCTTTTGGTAATCTACTGCATCACCTTTTTTGCAGCAGACACAAAAAGGAGAATTAGTTTTCAAGTCTGGAGTAAACGGACGTTTCAAAATAAACCCCAGAGAGCAGAGATAATAAAGTAGGGTTAACAAACAGAAAGTTGGTTATCTCACACACGCACACATTAAGAGAACCACTTTGGCCATACCATTTGATTTTCCAATGACTAGTGGTCTTGAAGTTGACAGCAAAGGATTCTTTAACGGTGACTGGCTGTCTCGTTCATTTTCTGTGAGAGCTGTCCAAAAAACAGTGACAAATGTAATGATTAATCCTTCGAATGCTGCGTAATGGTTATTTATGCTTTTAAAATTTACATATTTGAAGAAAGCAAAATAACTGGGCAAAGATGTTTTTTCAACAGTACTCCGTTAAACCATACTGTAGAATTATGTTAATGTAAATAAGACTGGTGCTGCAGTGAGAGCTGGAAGTCTGCCAAGAATGGCACACTTAATTAAAAACTTTGCTCAGAGGAACTGCCGCAGAATTTTGTCACCTAATCAGAACTGGATCAAGAGATGGTAAGGAGATTTCTACTGTACACAGAGTACAAGCCGTCCAAAAATGTTATTTCAGTTCATACTTTGTCTAGATGTAACCGTGTAATTGGCTGCAAACGATGTCTGAACGCAGCAGACGTGAGCCTTGACATTGTGTAGTAATTTCGGAACGCGGTGAGCATCGTTACAAACGCACATCCTATATGCTCCCAGCTGAAGGAAGCAAAGCAGCGTTGTTCATTAAGCAGCCTTTTTCCAAAAGCTTTAAGCAAGAGACTTTTAGGGAAACTGAGGTATTCATTCCCTTTCAGACTTCTTACCCGGTGGGATATGCAGCTTGTACAGTAACTTTATCTTCTCATTCATTTCTCCATTATACATAACATCTGCAAGGAAAAAAAAAGAACAAGAAGGAAGTGGACCAGAGCATTTACTTCCACAGTTTAAAATAAATCAGGCATCTCTCTGTGCACAAAAGATAATTGTTTGCATGGACAATACAGGAAAACATATGGCCAGTGTATTACATCGGAATATTTTAAGTTGTGCCTGTCAATAAGGAGCAGCAGGTGACAGCCATCTGCTTTGGTCTTTGTTCTTATAAAGGAGACTGGGAGCACCCAACCCTGTGGAGCTTCAGTTTGAAAATGGCAAGGAGGATGGCAGTGAATCTAGCAAAGGCTCTTTGCTGCTGCAGATTGACAGGAACGCGACAGGGCAGAGACAGAAAACTCCCTTTGGGGCCACCATATTCTTAATATTTCTCCCCTTCAGGCCTTACTGATGTTCTATAGAATAAGCCCAAAGGAGATAACTACTTCACATGTAATACTATTTATATTTTAAATGAGCAGTGGAAATGAGATTCTAAAACTTTCCAATACACTGAAATACTGTGAAGAACTTTTTTTTTTTAAATTTAAAGTTATATCCCTCTAAGAATCAAATAACAATATAACACAAGGTGCCTTGGTTCACATTCTAAAAAGCTTAAGTGGCGAGAATCGGATTTACTGATTTTTACTGAAGCTATTGATTCAGTTTTTTTCACTTGGGGTCAGCCAACCGTTGAGATGTGGCACTTTCTTCTTCAGCCGTATTTTGGGATGGGCAGGCTCATCAGCTGGTGGCTTCAAGGCCAGCCCTAGTGCAGCGCTCAGTCCCTGCTGGCCACATTTTTTTTTTGTTCTGCTTATTTTCAGCATACAAAGCAGTTGGTTGTGTAAGATGAAGTCTTCAAGAAGCAGTTACAAAGAGGTATACTGCGTTTTCAAAGGTATACTGAGAGCAACAGTCTGGCAGAGAGGATTTTCTAGCATTCCACGCGTACCCAAGTATAATTTTAATTCATAAAATATTTTCAACAAAATTACTGTTGTCCAAGAAATCAAATATTTTTAAAACAATATTCAATCATGTCCTTAGGCTGTTTTTTAAATCTAATCGACTTCAGGTGATTGGAAGACAAAAAATTAGCAAAGGTCACTGGTTAGGCTAATGACAAGCCCAAGAAGACCATCTGCCCGCATCCTCCCCTGCCAGTTATACAGCATTTTAACATCCACGTCTCACCCATGTGCACCCCCT